AATAAATAAATAAAATCAAAATGCTCCTGTATTTCAGCCTGGCTGATGGAGCATGATTGAGGCTCTGAGGACTGTTCCTACACATTCATGCAGTAGTTTCTCATGTGAACCTTGATTTTCAACCACACAGAAGGGGTTGGTAAAGAGATATAGATCTGGGAAAACTGTTATGGATTTTTGTAACTGTGCACCAGTCCATTAATGTGCTGGGCCACAGGGATTTGTCACAATGAACCCACAAGCCAGTACACCACAACCCGGACCTGTTAATTGGGTGCAGACAGATGAAACCGGTATTGATCTTTTTAAAGTCAGTTAGGAATTGTTGGGGAAACAAGTGTAGTCTCACTGTGTCTCACCTTTTTACCGACTGAAATATTGCAGCCCAGTGAGGAAAATGTCCAAAGTGTGAATGTCCTCCTGCCTTTCATGCCGGATTCCTTCTTACTCTGGAGGATTTTGGACTTTTGAGCATTCTTTTTTTTCCCTCAAACCATATCTGCCTCATCAAAACTGAACATACTGACGGCTAATTCACCTTAGCCACCGTGAAATAGTTGACAGTACTTTCTCTACATTTTCTGCTTAGTCCCTCAGCCATGGCTCTTATTTTCAGTCCTCTGTTTAACAGTGGGATGTGTCTTCTGATGTGCTTCCACTCTGCTATGCTGAACTTTTATCCCTCTGCACCTAATTACCCTTAACCCTTTGGTTCCCCTGGGCTGTTTACTCTCCATTTATACTGTGGGCTGGAGGTACATGGTATTTATGTAAATTAGTCAAGCCACTAATTTAAGGATTTAAGTTAACATCAGTGTCCTTATGCAGGGTTAGAGATTGGCCTGTAACTTTGCAGATTGTTCTGCTTTGATCATTGCAGTGGTTAATAACAGTCAAGGTTTGAAAAGATAAAAGAATAAATTGTCATTATGGTGTTTTCATGTAGGATAAAATGGTATATAACAAGATAGCTGAATAAAGAGATAAACACAAAACTTACAGGCAGACATGATGGGAAGAATAACCATATAATAGTGGGATACAATCGTCAGAGAAACAGGAGGGGAGGGAAGAGCGTGACAGCAAGTGAAGAGCTTAAAGTGTGGCTACACCTCAAAAAAGCTCTTAAGATGTCTTAGCAATGCAATGCAGAACACAATTTTTAGTGTCCTTCTAGTTGCCTTTATTTATCAGCGAATAGAAAAAAAAAATAGGAGGGAGAGAGAAGAGCAAGACATCCTGAGAACGGGAATCAAACCGAGGAAATCCTCTCTGAGGACTGCAGCCTCTGAACCTGGTGGCTATGCTCCACCAACTGAACCTCCAGTCAGTCAACCGAGTTTATTTGTTTAGCACATTTCAGCAACAAGGCAGTTCAAAGTCTTTTTTTAGGCAGACCTGTGAAGACACCGTTGCAGTAGTCAATGCAACTAAAGATAAACCCATAGATGAGTTTCTCTAGATCTTGCTGGCACTTTAGTCCAGTACATGTAAGAAAAAGGGTTCTTACAACATGGCTTTTCTTCTGACTTTACTTAAAATATGTAAAAAAAAAAAATAGTTATCCACTTAGCTACAACTTCCACTGAAACAGTATTTTTAGTACATCTCATAATGCAGCATTAACTGGTGGGTAGAAGGTTGAATTTTAAAGGCTCTGATTGGTCAGATTTTCAGATAAGGCTGAAAATCATCTGATTCTTGCCAATGGTTGTTTTCTCATTCGATCTCCAACTGATGGCAGAGAAGACTCTCGTCGTTTTCAATCATTTTATTTTATTTATTTTTTAGTGGTATTTCTATTTAATCCATCTGAACCATCGTCTTTTCATCCTTTAGTGATTTAAATGTTTAAATGTTCATTTTATTTTTCATATATGAAATTAAATGGAGCTACTGTAACGGATATAATATTCCTTCCAATAAAGCATTATGTTTCTACTAACTTAAAGCCACCAACTCGGTTAGCTGCCGTGTCAAAACGGTGTGTGTGTGTGTGTGTGTGTGTGTTGGTATATGTGGTTTAGCAGGACATTTCGTCAGAATACACGCAACACTAGCAGGACATTTTGAATTAACGGGACAGGGGCGGTGTCCTGCTAATTTTGACAAAAATCTAAAAGCGTAGAAAGGTTTCTATTGGTCCAATAACCCCAAAAATGCAAAAAAAAAAAAAAAAAGAGATGTCCATTTAATACACATAAACCAGATTTTGTGTATAATATGTGTATCGCCACAGTGCCCCCGGTGGCAACTCTGTGTAATAGCAGGACCTTATGAATATTCACACAAGCTCTTGTTCTGATTGGTTGTCTGCCGGAAGGTCCCGCTAATTACTACAGTGTCTTTCTAATTCACGTCGCTGTTTACACACATGAATTGTGTGTAAATTGCCAACGCTTACTCTGGGGATGAGTTGGAAATATGATTTCTCTGTGCTATAAGACTGAATATTTTATAAAGGTTAGTTGGATGCCTAAACCCAACCTTTTGTCCATCCTTACATTGGTCAAAAGGTGTATGTGGCACCTAAAAATATACAGAAATTAATATATATTTTTGATCAAATATTTTTTTATTTAAAATATTATGAATAATACGTGTGTGGAATAAGTGTGTGGATTAAAATAAATATAAACCATAAGAGAGCCATTTTTTTCACCAAACTACTGCTAACAGTTTGTTGATTCTGGTCTGCTCTGCATCCTCAGAACCAGAACCAAGCATTTTGAAGCAGAACTTAGCAACTTAGCTTCAGTGCACCATAAATCTTGAATAAACTTACAGAAAACTGCAACACAGCTGAATTCCTTTAAATCAAGGCAACACCCCCCCCCCAAAAAAAAAACAAAAACAACAACAATTTACAGTTGTTTCTAAATCTTAATCATTGGTACATGTATCAATATAATTAATGTATATGATTTTAATTTTGATTTTACTTTGAAATTAATTTCTATGTTTTTGTTTTTTTACGGTAAATGTATGTTAATTTTATCACTTTTTAGTCCTTTGATGTAAAGCACTTTGAACTGCCTTGCAGCTGAAATGTGCTATACAAATAAAATTGACTTGACAGCAGTTTTCAGATTTTGCCAAAGATTCTCCACTGAGTTTATGTCTAGACTTTGACTTTGCCATTCTAACACAGAAATATGTTTTTATTTATACCATTCCATTGTAGATCTGGCTTTATGCTTAGGGTAATTGTCCTGCTGGAAGGTGAACCTCTGCCCCAGCCTCAAGTCTTTTGCAGACTCCAGGTTCAAGAGTTTTCAGGTTTTCTTCCAAGGTTGCCCTGTATTTGGCTCAATCCATCTTACAATCAACTCTAACAATCTTCCCTGTCCCTGAAGAAAAGAAGCACCCTCAGAGCATGATGCTGCCACCACCATTTTTGTCAGTGGGGAAGGTGTATTCAGAGTTATGTGCAGTGTTTGTTCTCCACTACAAATAGTGCTCTGCATTTTTCCCAGAAAGTTAAATTTTGGTCTTGTCTTATCGTTTTTGCTGTATCCCAATATGGCTTCTGGCAAACTGCAAATGGGACTTCTTATAGTTTTCTTTATACAATGGCTTTTCTATTGCCACTGTTCCATAAAACCACATTTTTGCAGTGCATGACTAATAGTTATACTATACTGCATTTCAGAAATATCTCTGCATTTCATCCAGAGCCACCATGAACCTCTTGGCTGTATCTCTGATCAGTGCTCTTCTTGTTCTACCTGTAAGTTTAGGTAGATGGCCTTTTCTTGGTAGGTTCACAGCGGTGTGATTTGTTCTTTCCATTTCCAGATGATTCATGGAGCAGTACTCTGTGAGATAGCCTAAGCCTGCTTTAAGCTTCTCCACAACTTTATCCCTGACCTGTCTGGTGTGTTCCGTGGACTTTGTGATGCTGTTTGTTCCCCAATATTCTCTTAGCCAACTTTTGAGGCAGTCATAGAGGAGTTGAATTTTTTTTTACCATTTGCAGTCATCAAGCAACTTCTGAAGGCAATTGGCTGCATTCAGGGCAAGGGGGGTGAACACTTTTGCACACCGCACTTTTTAGCTTTTATTTGTAAAAACTGTTATGAATCATGTTTAGTTTTGTTTCTACTTCACAAGTATATACCACTTTGTGTTTGTCTTTCCCATAAAATTCTGTGAAAATATATTTCCAGTTGTGACAAAATATGGAAAAGGGCTATGGATACTTTAGAAAGCCACTGTACAAATAGTAAGGCAAGTCCAATGACAGAACCACAACCGCCACAACCAAGTACCCAGTATAGTGTGAAGAAACATCTGAAGGGAATATAACCTTGAACACACCTCATTAAAATGGGAAATGCCACACAAAGTGGTAGAAAACAAACAAGCTAAGATCCTGTGGGCCTTCCATATACAGGAAGACAAAATGGGAAAAGCAAACCAACTGAACATGGTGATCATTGAGCAGCAGAGCAAAGCAGTTGTTATGATGTAGCTATCCTGAATGAACAGAAGGTACAGAAAAAAACTAGAGAAATACCAAAGGCTAAAAAACCCCATCATCCTCCTAGAACTTGAGTGGTTGACTTATTTTGGGCTGTCTAGTCCACAATACTAAATTTTGCTCTAGATGGGGTCTGGTGTCCACATGTTAGGCCATTATTTTATGACTTGGTGGTGGTGGAAGATTATAACACATTACAGGTTAGACTCAAGATGTTCAGTGTTTCTTTTGTTGTGTAAGTTTACAAAAGTTAGCAACTGCATATATTTACCATGGTGCTACACATGGTGATTTAAAATGAATAAGTATTTTTCTGAGAAAAATGTTGTCCACATATCATGTAAAATGATAATTCTTTGTTTTTGGAATCATTAGGTCCCAATCACGCATAGATGAATTAATAATGCACTCCATGTGAGAGTTTGGGTCTTAGGAGATTACAAAAAATGTGGAAGGTGAAAGCAACAGTAGTGCTTGTGATCACTGAAACCCTTGCGGTAATGACCCCTAAACTGGAAGACTGGCTCAAACAAATACCTGGAGATAGATCAGACCTCTTGATACAGAGAAGCACACCTTTGGGAACTGCTAATATACTGTGAAGACCAAGGATCAATAAAGTATTTTTGAATTTGAAAGAAGGGATAATCAGTCATGGAGTAATACAGAATTAGAAATATAAAAATAAAAATCGTTTATTTAAAAAATATTTAAAGTGCCAAAAATATCATGATTACTTGTGTTACTGTTAGGACAAAAATTTAAAGATTGATATTTTGTCGTTATCTCAATGTCTTTTCTCTGCATACATGCAGATTGTCTAGGTAGTCTAAATTGTCTATTGGCAGGTACATCAGCCAATCTTTTTCTGCAGGTGTTGTGTCTGCCATTAGACAACAGTTTTTGTTTTTAT